AGTCATTTTCTCCAGTTAAATCTTGTGAGATATTTAATCTCTTCTCTGAAGTGTCACTCATTTTATTTAACAATATAAGAAAGTAAGATGTCACTTTTGTTTGTATTGTTATTGTTTCACTTCTGAAAACATAAAGAGCCTATGCAAAGGATCTTGAACTATTCTAAACTTGTTGTTTCCATTTTTTTCTTCAGCAACTGTTGCATTTTGTCACTGCAATAACTAAGAACTTCAATATATTTCACCTGGAAAAACTATATGCTGTTCTTAGTCAGTGCATTTACCAACATCGAGATGATTATGACAAAACCAAATTAGTGAAGGTAAATTTTTTTGTCTTATAGCACTTTCTATCGCTGTTATGCATTTGTGTGTTATGCATATGTATATGTGTACTCGGGACATCACGCTTGCTTAGCTCTTTATTACTTAGTTGTCTGTGTTACAAGACTTCTTCATTTCAGTCTGGAAGACATTTATCCATATTGCAAAACCATTGTTGTATCTGGCATAATTGTTGGCAATTTCAGCAGGAAAAGGCTTGAACTTGAAGACAATGGGTCCACCCACACAGCCCTCTCAAAGAAGTTAACCTCAGTCTGTCAGTGGTCCTTCTCCAGAACCTTTTTAGGGGTGGGAGGCTATGAAAGGAGGGTGCTTTTATCAGCCTGTTGTTTCCTTTTTCCCCTTACAGGCCGTCAGACATGATAATACTTCATGTAGTAATTATTCCATTCTTGAAAAGAAATTAAGTATGAAATATAACAAGAGTTTGAGACTTTTCTGTAGTCTCATCATAATCTCTTTTTAACTAACATGACTCGAGCATCTTTAATTTGACATAAGGGAAGATTTCTGTCTATGCCAGTTTAATGCTGAGTCAAATTCTCTGATCTCTTCTTGTAAGAGAGGATTTCTGAGTTGTCAGAACTCGGCAGAAATCTTCCAGAGGCACCAAGGTCCCAGTCAGGCATTCCCAGTATTAAGTCCATTAGATAGATTGGATATTGAGTCTCCAGATTCAAGATCCTTGAATCTAGTTGTCTTTGAGATGCTTGTGCCTTAAAGAGATAAAATTCTTTATGCCTCTCAATCTGACTTAAAAAAGGGGAAGCCTCTTCTCTTTGGCCCTGGTCTTGTCGATCTCTTCTTCCACATCTGATATAAAGAGTTAGTACAGACGCTCCGTTCTGATTGTGCAACAGTGAGGATTATTTGGATTCAGGGAGGCCATTCTTGAAAAATATGCCCTTCTCTCATCCAGTATAATGACATGTTTTAGCATGAGAAGGGATTTATTTATGTTATCTCAAGGCTTGTGAGCTTTTGTGACTTACTTTTTAATGCTTAAATTTAAAGGGACTTGATTTCTCTGTTTTCTGCTTCTACATTTAGCTTTAACAAAAAAATACCTCCTATTCAGAATAACTGTGTGAGTAGGTCAGGAGCAAGCTCTGCTGTATGAAGAGATAGACTTTAACAAATGATTATTCAGAGTGCAGAAATAACATTTCCAGTTTTTAGTTGTGGCTCTTCAGGAACTGTCTCCTCTTTCTAACTGTTGAAACCACTACTGATACAGATCCATACAGTCTCTAGCCTACTGTCTATGTTGGATGCATAAGGATGTGTTTGAAGCTAGTGGGATGGTGGTAGCACATGTATTTGCTAAATATTATTAACAGTTGTATGTATGTACAGATTCTTTTTTTATGAAGAAATAAACAGGGTTCCTAAGCTTTTATTCATGCTGATTGCTAGTTTGTCTTTTTTTCTTACTAGGAAATGAAGAAAGAAGTTTCAGCCTTCAATTATGCTCAGTAATAAACTTGATTTCAGCATACTTGACTTCTACTCTGTAATGTTTTCATTGCATGCTGTTATATGTGCATAATTCAATAAATGTTACTTCTACATACATATTTATACGTAAACAAATATATCTTAAAATTTATTAAGGAAGCTCAAATAAAGTCTTTTAACTGCTTTGATATTTTTGTCCTATATATATATTTCTACGTGATGTACTGCTGTGATTGCCTTTGGAACACAGCAGATCTGCACATCTCCCAGATAATTTAGTTACCTCTCTTTAAAAGGAAATTATTGAAAACCAGATAAACTTTTATCATTGTCTTCCAGCTTGTGGGAATACATTTTTCTGAAGTAGTCAGTGGTGCTGTATAGTCCAGTGCATATTACATAAAGGTTTTAAACCAAATCTCATTTTGGTATATGAAAAGTAAATCCTTTAGAAACCTCTTAATACAGTGCAGAGGTAATTTCTTTTTAGTTACCTGATAGCCCCTCAAGTGGTTTTCATAGAGCAGCAACCTAAAGAAAGTATGTGGGAGAAACACTCCTTCCACAAACATAATACCTTTTGCTGTGATGTATTTTGCCTGTCAAAAAAAAAAAAAAAAAACCCTAACTTGAAACAAAGCAAGATTTACTACTGTAACTTTCTAAAGTAAAGTTTGTTATTGCTCGTAATTACAGTCTTCTTGATACTGGAGAATAGCATTTTAATATAAATTGCTAGTTGCAGGTCAGGTGGCTTGTAGATGAATTAAATTGTAAATAGTTTTCTAGTTACCTGAACAGAATTATATCCGTTCATTGCATAAAAGTGTTGGTGATAAATATATTTAAGTAATAAATATATTTAAATAAAAGCAAAGCAATACCCCGTTTTGAAGATGTATTCTTCTTCAAACCAGCAAATTTCTGTTAATTTGGCAGGTTTGGTTTTTTTTTTTTAATATAATGAGTTAGGCAAAATTTAATTTTATGATAATAAAATTTTGTATCAGTTATAATACAGGGCGTGATACACTGGTGTTGTGTTACATCACCTCACATACACAACATTTGGTGATACTGAATGCCTAACTGTGCAATCTCTCTGTGTTTGGTTTCCTAGGTATATTTTTTTCTTTTCGTTTCTTTCTAGTGCGTTTGTCCAAACATTTCTGCACTATGCAGAATTTTTTATTTCTGTATTATTTGGATGGGTATTAATAAATTAATCACATTGGGGGGGGGGTGTCTGCTTAATCACAGTATAATGTTGATCATTAACTGCCTTACACTTAAAAACTAGTGTGAGTCTTAAAACTTTAAAATGAGACCTGTATGTGAGCAGCTTACCCCACTCTTGCTGTATTGGTTATACAGCAAAGGCAAGCACAGGAGAAGAAAAATTATATTGAAAATTTACATTTAATGTATTACATTGGAAATGTAATAAAGGAATTTACATCATTTTTCCTTAACTTGATTTCTACCTTGCCTGCTGTCACTGATTTTGATGGGTTTGTGAGGGTGGTTTGCTGACCGCGTTCCCCAAAATAATGCTTTGAAAAACTGAACAGGAGTAACAGTGTGGAAATGAGGAACCAAAGACATTCCTGGTATCAGAACTTTTGGCCTTCAAAGCTTGATCAGACTACCTCCTGTCACTAATCTCAACAGGATACTGTACCTGTTTGGGTGGGGTTTTAATTAGAATTGTGTAAATCTTCATTTTCCGTGACCAACTGTTAACAGTTAACTCTTACAGCAGTTCCCACTGGCCACATCTTTTTCTTTCTCGGGGAAACAGTATTTTAGTGTCTGAACCAAAATGGCAAGCAGTGATGAAAGAAATAGTACGTAGAAATGCAACGTTTTTGAGAAGTGGGCAGCGGGGGTTAGAACTAAATATTGACCAAAAGATCTAGTCTGTACTAACCGAGTAACTCCCCTTTCTCCAAGTTCTGGTAACTAAACAAGAAACGGGGTGCACGGGGATGTGATTTTTTTCCCTCAGAGCCGTTATTTCTGTGCTGACTCGCCCCTGGTTTGGGTCCCTAGACCCTGCGGCAATGTCCTCCCTCAGCGACAGCTCAGGGCGCCTGAGGGAAACTCGGGGCTGACGTCGGAGAAAGAGCTCGAGGCTACAGACGGGGCTGTCCTGAAAACCTGCGTGGGTGCGTGGCGGGAGGGTCTGAGCGCGGCTCCGAAGTTTGTCGGTGGAGGAGCGGGCTGCGAGGGCGCCGCTGCCACCCGGGAGCTGCCGGCCTGTCGCCCCCTCCTCCCCGCCGCACGCCGGCATACCGCCCGGCCGAAGGGCGAGGAGACGCGGGTGGCCCCCGGGCTGCGGCGCCGGGACAGCCCCCCGCGGCCGGCCGGTGCCTCGGCGGGGCCGGGCCGCCCTCCGGCTGGTGTCCGCCGGCTGACGGGCGGGGCGGCGGCGGAGCGGCTCCGCCCCCGCTCCCAGCCAGGGCGGCTGAGGCACCGGCCGCCGCTGCCCGGCCTCCCCGCGCACCCGCCCCGGGGCAAGCGAGGCGCCGGGAGGATGCGAGTGGGCGCTGCGGGCGGCGGCGAGGCGAGGGCCCGGGCGGCCGGCGGCGTTGGGAGTTCCCGGCTCACCCGCCGCCCCCCCCGCCCCAAAAGAAGTGCAGTAGTTTGTGAAACGCAAGATGGCGGCGCGGCCGTGAGCGAAGGCGGCAGGCGGGCAGGCAGGCGGGCGGCGCGGGCGCGGGCGGAGGGGGCGAGGCGGAGCGGCGCCGGCAGGTAGGGGCTCGCGTCTCCCGCCGCCTCGGGCGCGGGCGGAGAGGGGGCTGTCGGCGCCGGGAGGCGGGAGGGCAACCCCCCCCCCCCCACCACCACCACCTCCCGCCCCGGGGAGGCGTGCCCCCCGCACGCCCCCGCTTCCCCCCGGGGAGCGGCCCAGGTGCTCCCTCGGCGAGGACGGGGGAGCGGCGGCGCCCTCGCCGCCCCGCTCCTCCGTGGGGCGGGGGCGGCCCCTGGGCGGCGGGGGCGGGCGGGCCCCGAGCCGGGCCCAGCGGGGGCGGCCGCCCCGCTGCCGCCCGCGGGGTGGGCGCGGTGGGCCGGCCGCGCCCCGCCCGCCTCCCTATTGTCTGGCGGCGGCGGGCGAGCGGCCGGCGCTGTCCTCGCGGCCAGGGCGGGGGGGGGGGATCGCCGGCCGGGGGCGGCGGGCTCCAGGCTGTCTGGGGGAGCCGGGGCGGGGGCAGAGCTGGGGCGTAACTTGGAAGCGGACTGCTGGGTGCCCCCACGTACACACACAAACGCACCCCGGCCCGGCCCGACCCGCAGCGGGGGTTAAACCCCTTCGGGACCGACGCCGATCTCCTCGCCCCGTGCTTCCCTCCTCCGCCCTGTGCCAGCCGTGGAGCCCGGAGCCTGTGCGCGGGTTTGCTCGCCGCAGGGCGGAGGGAGATTCGTCTGACTCGTCAGTGGGAGAGTCAAGAAGTTCAATCCCGGTGTGCCCGGAGGAGCTGGCGTGTTCCCGCCCGGTGTCACCGGGCTGCGCACACCCGGGCTGACGGACGGACTGACAGACAGACTGACGGCAGCCAGCGAGCCATGAAGTTCTGGCTCCAGAGTTGTCTCGCATCCCGTGGCGTTGCAGAGCGGGGGCGAGCGTGGAGGAACAGAACGGTGTATGTGCAGGCAAAGTTGGGGAAGATGTCTGGTTTACTCTTCTGGGGGTGTCTGGGTTTCGGGGTGCGTTCTGACGCTCAGCTTTCCCCTAGATCAGGATGTGCGGCACTGGAGATCAACACCGACTTCAATAAACCATGTAATGGAGGCAGTTCTGGATCTCTGAAAGGGCTCAGAGTATCTGCAGTAGTGAGCATTATCTGGTAGGTACTTGTGCTTTATTTCAGAGCTGCTTACACTTTCTAGTAGGTTAAACAGTTAACGGAAGGATAGGGAAGTTTACTTTGCGCAGTGTCACGTAAAATAACGAAGGGTGAAACGTCTCTTGGTCGGCAAGCTGGAATAGGTGCCACTGATTTCTAAAATACAGATGTACAGAGAGCATATTGGGCATGTAGAAGTGTATATAAACATTGTATAAATAAAAAGTGGATTTCGTTATGAAACTTGTTACATGAAAACAAATATTCCACTAAACGTAGGAACGAAAGAAGAATTTTAAAAGCTGTGCTGTTGGTTTTGACCAGCTGTCTGTATTTTGTTTGTTTTTTGCTTAGAAGGATTTAATGCAGAAAAAAAATTAATGCGAGTGCTTAGGGAAACCCTGTTTAAAACAACCTGCGTGATGCAGACTAGAGGATTGCCCTCAGTTACAACCTCTTTAAGCAAGCTCTCATAATTTAGAAAACCCTTTTGTTACTGTCTTTAGACATTGCCAGCAAGGCAGTCTATTTCGCTTGGGTTGTTAAATGAATTCCCCTGAGCTGGTTAGAAGTAGATGCCATTTTTTATAACTGCAATTATTTGCTTTTAACTTCAGGCTAGTGGTTCTTGTGTCTTTGCTAGACTGAAAAGCCCTTTACTGTCACTTTTGGGTAACGTGTACTATGATTGTTCCCAAACTTGTCTTTGTAAAACACAGAAGTTTGAGGTAGAGCTTTTCTTTGTGAGGCATACTCTTCTACTCTCTTGATGCTTCTTATGACTCTCTTCTGGATTATTTCCTCTCTTGCAACACTCCTGATGACCTCTGCGTGCTTTAGCTGTATCCAGTGTCCTGGTGTCTAGCCTTAATTGCTGTCATTTATCACTGTTGGTTATTATTGGAACAGACAATATTTATCACTGCATACCAGTATATCATTGGAGACTGTTAGAGCAGTGTATTGAATAGATCTGCCTTTTGTAGATTTCTCAGTACTGAAGAATTTCTATCAAATAATGGACTTTGTACTATTGTTAGGATTCCTTTTGTTCCTAATGTGCCGAAAAGACTGTTCCTTGTGTATTTTGCTTCGCTGAGCAGTCTACAGCATTTCCCTTAAGCTTATTGCTATGCATGAGCTTTCCCCCTGTTTTTTCCATTTGTTATATGTAGTATGAGGGAAAGGTTTAAATTTTGATTAACTTCATCGTTATGATTATTGTTGGTGACCCTTTTGTTTGGATGTGACTTTAGAAGAGTCTTATTTTTAAAATAGTTGTATGTCTGAAGTCAGATTCTTTCCTCAAGTCTGAGTTCAGGATTTTTTCCAGCTTTATGAAACTGGAACTTTTAAAGCACCAAGTACATCTAAACTGGGTTTTATTCTGTTTGCACATAATAAATATAACCAAGGCACAATCACTTGTAGCTAAGCTATGGCTAATCTTTATTTTGGTAATCAGTTTCTCTTTACCTGTCAAGCTGAGGTCTAGTCAAGAATTCCACAGCGTCAAATTCAGTATTTTTATGTTTTCTAATTTTTAGAAATCCTGAGCCTGCCGCAAAAATTACAGAATGATTTTTTCAGTGTCTGTTTATTAAAGTCCTGTCTCATAACAGTTTTGGGATCATGGCGTGGGGGAAGGTTCTGAACATTTTTAGCTGACTGCATGGACATGCTGTTCTCTTCTGGGTATTAATGGTCAATATTCCCTCTCCTTGTGCTTTAGATGCAGGGTCATTGATCCATAAATGTCCAAGATGGTTCACCTCTGAGTCGTCAGTGACTTGTTTACAAGTGATGCAATTTTCAATATAGTACCATTTCCCCTTCTTCTTTTGTTTACTTGCTATTTCTTAAACAGGCAGCAGTGTTGATCTTGGTGTTTTACTTCTGTAGCTCCCCACTGCATGTCAGTAGCATCACCTTTGTTGAATATATATCTACATGAATATGACTTTCTGTTATTATTTATGTTTCTAATATTATCAGATAAGGCATTAAAGCAGCTACTTTCTTCAGGCTATCAAAGGGATGTGACTACTAATGTTTTCAGCATTATTATTATTAGTATTATTATTAATTCCAATTTATTGTCTATTCCAATTCATCTTCTCTCCTTTTTTCTCTATTTTTTTTTTCTGTGGCTAGTTCAGGACCTTCCCAAATAATCAAACCACTTTGCTGCATAAACAGTTGTTTCTTTTTTCTGTGGAGGTGGAAGCCACCAAAAATGATACATTTCCTTATCCTGTACCAGCCAGATGGCATTTCATAATTCTGTGCCTTACATCACTTTAACTGATGGTTCATTTCCAGCTCTCTTGTCTTTCTGTCAAGGAACTGGAAGGAACTTTGGAAGGTCCACTCAAGTCTTTTTTCATATTCTTCAGAGTTCAATGAACTGTAATGTATTTCATAAAACAGTGACTCTACTACCAGTGGGTCCTTTCTAACCAGCTTCAGAAATCAGCACAAATTGAGCAAAAGTCTGCTGATGTCACTTGCGGGAAGATGTGTACCACTCTTTTACCCTTAAGAGCTTTGAAATCATAGTAAATGTTAAAGTGCAATAGAATGCAGTGAAAAGAGTATGATCTAAAGGGCCAGGAACTAGAATGTAAAGTAGAGCGCTTACTATATCATTAAAAATATAAAAAGGGCAGTATCGTGCTAAAGCACAGAAACTAAGAAAATTGCTGATGACCAGAAGAGGAATGGGTGTGGCTAGGTGCGAGAACATTTAGGAGAAATGATAAAGCACTTTGAATATGCTACGTTTTGCACTCCGTAAATGATGTCAAAGATAGCAAAGAACTTAATGTTGCAAACATCCTCTAGCAGCTTGACCTCTGCTTATGCCGAAGGAGTCTAAAGGAGCTCAGTATATTCTACTTACAAAGGACAAGCTTTGAATTGGTTTTGGAGCCATTTATGAAAGTGAGTTTGGTGTTTTAGGTTCACTCCATGCAATTTGCCCTTCCCCAGTGACACTTTGCAATCTGCTGCTCACCTTCCTTATCCATTGGTCTCACTAGGAGTTGAAGGAATTTAAAATGCTGCCAAGGGACCCACAATTTGAAGTCATTGCTCAAGTGAGCTTTGAAGGCTGGAAGTTTTGTTTCAGCAGCGGGCAGACAGAACTGTGTAATGAGGCATGCGTAACGCCCGCCCTCGCTCTTTGGCAAAGCCAGCATCGTTCGGTGAGCGCCAAATTCACCCCACCAGACAAAAGGACAGAAATGAGCTTTTAAACTTTCTAATGGTTATGGTAAGAGTTCCACATGTTCAGCACTTTGAATCTGCAGATACAATCTGGATTATATCAGAAATGGTGGGACCAGCGGGACTAGGGAGATGATTGTCCCCCTGTGCTCCGCAATGGTGAGGCCGCAGCTTGAATTCTGTCCCCTCGTTACAAGAAAGTCGTTGAAGTGCTGGAGCAAGTCCAAAGAAGGGCAGTGAAGCTTGTTCAGGGACTGGAGAGCAAATTTTACGAGGAGTGGCTGAGGGAACTGGGGCTGTTTAGTTTGGAAAAAAAGAGGCTGAGGGGAGATCTTGTGCTTCCTACAACTATCTGAAAGGAGGTTTTAGGGAGGTGGGTATCGGTCTCTTTGACCAAGTAACAAGTGATAAGATGAGAGGAAGCGGCCTCAAGTTGTACCAGGGGAGGTTTAGACTGGATATTAGGAAAAATTTCTTCACCAAAAGGGTTGTCAGGCATTGGAACAGGCTGCCCAGGGAAGTGGTGGAGTTAGCATCCCTGGAGGTATTTAAAAGATGTTTAGATGTGGCACTTAGAGACATGGTCTAGTGGTGGACTTGACGGTGTTAGGTTAATGATTGGACTCGATGATCTGCAAGGTCTTTTTCAACCTAAAGGATTTTATGATTCTGTATATTGGATATGAAATAGCTGTTAGCTTACAATGAGTACTGTGAATTAGTCAATAATTTTATATAGGTTTTAAGGTTTGAATCCTTGTTTATAGGTTAGGAATGCAATTATTTTAACACTGTCTTACCTCACAAAATTGCTAAGAACTTCCTAGATAGGAATGCATGTTTTTATAGTCCAAGACAGTCTTGGGAGAGGCCTCTAAGTTTGGCTTTCCTAAAAATTGAGGAGTATTAGCCTAAACAAAACATGGTACTAACATGTTTGCCTTCCTCCCTGTGTTATAATGGAAGGACATGCTTCCCTCCATATGTCAAAATGCTCTTGATTTTAAAACTCCCCTACTGTCTCTGTGCATTGGTGTGAGGCTCTGTTTTGGTAATTAAATCAAAATGAAATCTGGGAATGTTTATGTCCTAAAAAGAGGGGACACAATGGGGAAGGAGTCAGGAAAGAACAATTCTTACTACCTGGGCTGCAGAAGACTGGTAGTTAAACTTTAGTTACAGCTGTGTGTTTCTTCAGAAAGTCCAGATTCCTATTTAATCTTTAGAATAGTTTCAAAGTAGAAGAATACTGCATTTTTATACATATGTCAGCTGCCTTCAGCAACATCAGTTGGAGCTGAGGGCACTCTGCAAATCAGAGCTGTATCAGGAGTAGTTAGGCACTTGGTAGCAGTTGCCAGGTGAGCAAGATGGAGCAAGCATGAAAACTCAGGGATTTCTGTTTCTCAGTAGTATTCTCAACAACATGAAACGCATTTGTAGCTTCAGTGGAATTTTTGGAGCATTCAGTACAGCACAATATCCAGCCTTGTTTGCAGTGTTGAATACTTGCGGCTCTCTGTCCTCCAGACTTCTCAGTGGGGGTCTGGACTGACAAAAGGTTCATCGTACCTGGAGCACCACATGAGTTCAAGTTTCTTTGTGCATGGATCAGTTTGAGGAATTGGTGCCCATACAAGATCTCTGCTGGCATTGTAGGTATCTGTTAAAATACAATGCAAACCCACACAGATTTACTCCTTTTATCTTATGAGTGTTTTTCAAATTCGATTTCTTAATACGTTTTACTTAATTTTGTTGGATTTTGTGGG